TTCCTATTTATACCCATGATTTCTCGAATTCTGTTGTTAGTTATTCTTTCCGTTCTAGATTTTCCTGCAGCCTGCCTTCAGAAATCAATTTCTGTCGCTTCGAGGATACGTACGGTTCTATCCTTCTATACTTCGCTTCCATAGGAGATAATGCTTTTTACAATTGTGTTGTATATTCGTTGTTTATTGGTTTTAGAGATATGGTTGTCCCATAGAACACTGTTTAGCATAGATATTGCTTTTCTTCCTTGAGCATTTCTATCTTTAATAGCTTCAAGCATTCCACTACTTGACATCTTCACTCCCAAATATTTGTATTTTCCGCAACCTTCAATAGTTTGACCATTATCCAGTGGCAGATTTAGTTGGGGTCCGCCGACGCACATGTATTCGGTTTTAGATATGTTGACCTCTAGTCTTCATTTGCTCTATTCTTCAACTGGCTTTCTGGTCATATAATCAAGATCGTCAATGTCTTGCGCCATTACCACTTGATCGTCTGTGAAGTTAATGGTATAGATGATATTGTCGTTAAGTGGGATACCTATATTGCTACATTAACATTTCCATTGTAACAGCGCTTTTTCTAGAAATATTTTGAAAAGTGTAGGAGACAAACAACAACCTTGTTTTAAACCTTTGTTTGTGAAGAAACCGTTAGAGAGTGTGCTTCTAACTTTCATTTTTATATGAGAGTTCTTGTAAATTTCCCTAATGGCTTTAATTATCGTTATATTGATGTTTGTTATCTCCAGGGCTCTCCATAGTTTAACCAGTGGAACGCTGTCGTAAGCTATTTTCAGGTCTACGAATAATCTACTTTTACGATTTTTACGTCGATGATTGTTTGTCAGGTTCAAATTCAATTGCAGAAGTAGTTGAACTCTGCAAGGATGTTTCAATAATTCTGAGTGTTTTGAACTTCGCAAATGGAAATCAAACTCACTTAAAATTCTGGCAGGTATTAGAACTTTAATTTCAGACTTAGAAGTTCTTCTCGAGCATAGAAACCCAAAACTAACTGACTGGGATCTATACAAAGACCTACTAAAAGCAAAGGTAACCGACTACGCAATAGAAACAGAGGGTGAGTTAGAGTATAACAGTATATATATAACAGCCTATGAGAACAATTGTCATGTGAAACAAAAGGTCGTAGATAGAAAAACATCCTGGTAGAACAGGACGCTCAGTTCCCTGAGAGCTGAAACAAGAAGGTTATTCAATAGGGCAAAACGCACTAACAACTGGGGCGAATACAGAACTGTCCTAACTGAATACAACAAGGAATTGGGAAAGTCTAAAAGGAAATCCTGAAGGAATTTCTGTGAGAAGAATGAATTCGTAACCGAAAAATCGCTCCACAAAAACCAATATGCCTATCAAGCGGACAAATCAACGGAGGTACACAGCCTTGTCAATAGGAATGAAAAGGCACACTCCAACCAAGAAACCGCTCTCTGTGCATTATTCATTGATATAGAGGGTGCATTTGACAACACCTCTTATGAGTCCATAAGTAAGGCGGCAAAAAACAAAGGCTTTGAGGACACTACAACAATCACATGGGTTGCAACCATGCTACAGGATAGGAAAATCAAAGCAATTCTTGGAAGCGACTCAGCGACAGTCCAAGCAGTCAAGGGGTGCCTCCAAGGGGGTGTACTATCCCCACTGTTATGGTCCATAAACCGTAGTAATAGATGAACTTCTAAACATACTAAGAGATCATGGATTTGTGGTCCTAGGATATGCTGATGACCTTGCAGTCATCATTAGAGGCAAACTCATGCAGAATGCCCTCAACATCATCAAAAGCTGATGTTTGCAAGAGGGTCTAAGGGTGAATCCTAGCAAGACAATAATTGTACCATTCACAAGGAAAAGGAAGTTCAAGTGAAGTCAAATATCTGGGCGTTGTCGTAGATCAAAAGGATCGAGCAACAGTAGCGTACTGGACATGCCGAAGACTATTCAGTAAAACATATGGGGTGGAACTCTGTAACGGATAGAGATCGTTATTGCTATGGCATTTGCTGTCTTCTTCTTCTTCTCTCTTGTTGAAATCAATAGAGAGGAGACGTCAATAGAGACAGAGAAAATATCTCTATTTGTTACAGAGTCCCAGCCATGGAGCCTAAAGCCAAAAATGGTCTATATACGATGATTATAAGAACCCTGGTCACATATGCTGCATTGGTGTGGTGGCCAAAAGTGAAGTAGCAGACGGGGCAAAACCGATTGGCAGTTGTACAAAGGTATGCATGTCTTGGAATAACAGGTGCCATGAACACCTGTCCAACCGCTGCTATAGAGGTCATGTTAGATATCATCCCTCTGCACATTGCAGTGAGGAGAGAAGTCTACATGGAGGCCTCAAGGATTATACGGTCTCTAAACCTAAAGGAAGGAGACCTTGTTGGACATATGAGCATCATTAAAGAATGCCATGATACACCAACAAAACCGGTGGACATCATGTCACCCAGATGCAAATTTAATCACCTTTTTAGTGTGACCGCAGAAGGCCGTAAAAGTGACAAGATCGTACATAAATTCCCAAACGGACCTACGTTGTGCAAGAATCTTCATCAGTTCTGACAGCACTTAAGGTTCTTAACAACTTTGTCACTAAATCCAGACTAGTCTGGGACTGTCAGCAACTGCAATAGAGTCACTTTAGCATGGGTACCAAGACACCAAAACATAGAAGGAAATGAAATAGCGGATTGGCTTGCAAGAAAAGGCCTCGCGTCGCCATTCCTTGGTCCAGAACCCTTCTTTGGCCTGACAAAAAGCCATGTAAGGACCGAACTCAAAAAATCGGTAGAGGCACAACAGGCCTCACATTGGAACAATACTCCAGGACTTAGACAGGCGAAGCAATTCATCTCGCCAAAGTCAACAAATGCAAAGGAACTACTCGAACTCAGCAAGCCAGACTTGAGGCTCATAACGGGTCTCCTCAACGGTCACTGCCCTCTTGGCTACCACCTGAAAAAGATGGGTAAAGCTGAATCAGACCTTTGCCGCTTCTGCAAAGAAGCATCTGAATCTGCCGAACATATACTTTGCAAATGCGAAGCATTATGTCACAGAAGACTCATTCATCTGGAAACGAACAAATCCCGGAAAAATCGTGACATTCGCGAAAAGTCTCAACCTGGGAACCTACTAGAAAAAGGGGAAACACGATAGATCTATTCAGGTCGCAGTGCAGAGAGGTCCATCACTTAAACGCCCCTAACACAATCTAATCTAATCTAATAAGAACCCTTAACCTTTGCCAATCTCTTTTGGAAAGTTATGTTTTCATAGAAAACACTCTTATGCTATTTCATTTGCTCGTTCAAAAATTCTACACAGCTCGATTATCACTCCGAGAGAGTCTCCTCGCTTCAGGAAATATAAAGATCGCCTTCGAATCGAAAAATAATCTTTCATTTCCCACTTACATTTCAAATGTTGCTAAGTATCTTGATATCATAGAGCTAGAAGCTTATCAGTCAGATAAAAAAAATGTTTTCGTTTTGAAAATCCCGTTGCTTGAACCTGAAACTTATACCCTATACCTTCCCCAATCCCAATTTTGGATAATCGAACAGGTCTCTTTCAAACTATATCAATAACTCATAGGTTGATTGCGCGAGATGACGATTCTTTCCTGTATGTATCTCCTCAAGACCTAAGAAGCTGCAAACAAATCTCCACTTTGTTCCGACCTGCGTCAGTATTGACAGCAACGCAATATGTGAGGCTCAGTTACTCAGACAATCCAGTCTCTTGCCGAAGACCTGTCAAACATTCATTCTGATAGCCTCAGACTACCATGTTCAAGAACTAGGACAAAATTATTGGCTTATTACCTTACAGATCCACTTCCAGTAATAGTCAAATGTGGAAAAAGAGCAACTACAACGAACATTATTCGAACTAATTCACTCTTGAAGCTATAACCAAATTGCAGTGCATTCATTGGAGCACCAGAATCCACTCCAAGTATATTATAGAAAAATATACTAACGTCACCTGCAAAAGTTATCCTGTTATAATTCCGTATGATTGTTGTGAACACTTTCCAGAAAAAGTACATCTTCCAGAACTCAAACCTCTAAAATTGAGTAACATCGACACAGAAGACCCAATCAATACTCTGAAGAACTAGGGAAACTGATCCATGAACTCTTTATATCAAGGCATATCCACTCGTTCACTGTCTTTTCCAGTTCTGATGATTACCCTAAACATCACTCATATTAACTGCAAATGCCGACGTAGAAAAACTACAAGACTCAGTCTCCAAGGCGTCAACAGTAATAATTTTCCATCACGACCAAAACCCAAACATCGACGAGAAATACATTATTTGAGGAAACTGATCCCAAAAAGGAGGACCAGCATTCACCCTGAAGGCTCCATTGAAATTCAGATTTTTCAAATGTAATTCAGAAAACCTCACTTGTAATTCAGTTTTTTTTAAATGGTATTCAGAAAATTTCATTTGTAATTCAGTAAATCCCAATTGTAAATCAAATAACATCAGATGTGATTCAAATAACAGTTATAATTCGGAATAAGCAGTTTTTTTAATGATAGATTTAAAAACCCGGTTACAATACATACATGATACAGGGTTTTTGAACTGTGAACAATTATTTTAAAAGGATATTTAATAATATTGTTCAAATCGTTCAAATAGATTTTCAACCAACTAAATTTTTTTAATGTCAGCGGACATTTTCTTTATCACAAATAAGATTTTCTACAGTACATCACAAATGAGGTTTTCAAAATTTCAGTTGAGATTTTCTGAATTACATTTGAAAAATCTGAATTGGTACCTACTATAATTTCAGAATATTCTTTTAAAAATGTCTTAGTTATGAAATAGCATTGTTTTATTTCACAATAATGTGTAGGAAAATGATGTAAGAAACTTGTTACTATATTAATGATGATGATAAATAATTACAAAATTTTATTGAGCTGAATTATTTCAGGACAAAAGCAAATAACGATTTGGTCCTTCACATCCAAGAAATGCGCGAGCTTCAACGCAAAGGCGACAACGACGTCAAACTCCAAGAATTCTTCGCGATCAAAGGCCAAAAACGCATAATGCGCGACCTCGCCGAGCTACAACTCCAAAAACGCCTCGAAAACAAACTCCACATCAACAGAAACCTGGAAAACTACCTAAAACTCCTCATCGAAATCAAAGAATTCGCCGAACTGGACAACATTCCAGAAATTGCCAGGAATTTCGTCCACCATGAAGAAGACAACTTTGCCAAGTTCAAGTACGTCAACGATCTGAATAAGCAAATGGAAGAACTTAGTGATGAATTAGCTGAACGTCATTCAAGAATCGACAAACAATCAGTGTTGCACCAGGTTTTTAACAAACAGCAGCAAGAAACTTTGGAGAATCTTGAGAAAAAGGTGGACGAGAAACAGAAGGAGACTGCGAAAAAAGAAGCTGAGTTGAAAGGGATCGACACGAAATTGAACAACATTATGACAGGGATTGGGTCGTTGTTTAGGCTTTTTAGATGCGATAATGATCCTATTATACACATGCTTGGTAAGTTTTATTTTATTTCTAATAGATTTTTTAAAAAAGGGCTCTGCATTGTCGATGTTTTGATTTTTTTCACTATTAAAATCTCAGATGGCTTTAACATCAAAGTTTTTTGGGTAAAATTAGTAAGACTTTAACTCTCTACACCCAAAAATACACGAGTTTTCCTTTAGAGACCTATCAAAAGAAATGATCTTGAAACTTTATAAGTCGTATGTAGATTATAGATTTTGATGGTTGGAAATCTGTAGAGCATGATAATTGGAAATATATAGTCAGAATGTCATAAGTTTTTACATGTGGATTTACAAAGAAGTGCATGCACAAGCACAATCTATGTTCACTGAATTACACAAATAATAAATATTTACCAGATTTTCCTATTCTTTTAAGCATGGTGAGGTGTTATCTAAAATTCCTTCTAAATCAATGAATGTGCATAGAGCTGTTTTCTAACTTGAGTGTGCCCTTTCAATCCTTATGACAAGACTGTATAGGGCTGTCTCAGTTGATTAACCTGGTAAATTGACTTTTTTGGAGCGGGTAACCTCTAGAAATCGCACATCATAACCAAATATTTTACACATATTAAATGACACGGCATTTGCCTTCAATTCAAGCCTAAGTTGACGCAACGTTGATGAATGCTAGACAATTTGGAATGGAAATATATACAAAATGTTGGTCAAATGCTGATTTCTCCATGAGTTTTCCTATAACTGAACTCGAAATTCAAAAAGTGCAGCTGAAAGAAGAGAAACGAGATGAAGAATTGAATGACAATGTTGTAGATCATCTGACTTCACAAAAGAAGACACAGAATTTCTTCAGTACACGTGAAGATGTAGCACTTACGATTCGCTACAATTAGGAAATTATTCGGGGTAAGACACACAAGTTGGGCCTCAATTATAGAATAACAAAAGTAATAGAAAATCAACTGTAATTTGGTTCCTTCCAAAGAAGGAGGGACGTTTGTCGACTGATCGAGTACCTATTAAGACTTATGAGAATGTCCCTTAAAAAGACTTGGGAATCCAAATCAATGAGAACTTAAAAAGGGAAAGTGAAAGAAATAACTCGAGAAATATTAAGCAAGGTGATAAAACATCTGAATCAGACTTAGACATAAGTTTGTCAAGTGAAACTCTTACTGATTCAAAAAAATATCTCAGTGAAATCGAAGAAATTTTCATAATTTTAGATTCGTATTATGATGTGCAAAATTTTTGACAAAACACACAAAATATGATTTTCCAAAACTTCAAACGGTCATATCTTGGAAACCGTTTGAGGATCAGGATACATTTTGCACCAGTTGGTAGATCTTAAAAAGGACTTCAAAAAAGGTTATTTAGGCTTTTAAGTTTTGACGCTTCATTTTCGAGATAATCGCGCCTGAAAATTTTTAGGCATTTTACACGAAGTTTCAATTTTGAGGCCTTATATATTCGAACCCCCTTGATGTACATGATTCAATCCTATATTATTTTTAAGAGCATTCAATTTTAATTAAAAATAATCAATTTTAGTTCAAGTTTTATCAAATATTAACCGAGTAATAAGTGATTTTGTAAAACAATGTCAGATAGTTGAAATTTTCAGGCACCAAAAATTGTAGAAATCAATCTTAATTGTTTTCAAGCCTCAAAATCTCGAAAATAGAATTACAGAAGAGCTTTTTCTACTAATTTTGACCTCCTCTTTCCATTAGAAAAGTAAAAAATATAAAAAACTCAAAAATTAAATTTTTAACAAAATGCATATGGGGTATGTATGAGAATTCCATTTTCCAAAACTTCAAACGGGCATATCTTGAAAACCGCAAAAGTTATCAGGATGAATTTTGCACCAGTTGGTAGGTCTCAATAAGGACTACAAAAAAGGTTATTTAGGCTTTTAAGTTTTGACGCTTCATTTTCGAGATAATCGCGCCTGAAAATTTTTAGGCATTTGACACAAAGTTTCAACTTTGAGGCCTTATATCTTTGAAACCTCTTGATGTATATGACTCAATCCTATTTCATCTTGAAGAGCATTCAATTCTGATTAAAGATAATCAATTTTGCTACAAGTTAATAATAGAAATAATTGTTAATACAATCTCACACAATTCAGAGTTTTCCTGGAAAACTAATTCAAGGAAATTTTTGAAACTTTTTACATGTGAAGAGGAAGGTCAAAGGCTCATTTTCCCGAAATTTCGAATTTTTCCAGTGGAAAATAACAACATGAAGAATCTTGGAAATCAACCTCCAATAACTGAATTAATTGAAAATACAGTCTCACATATTTCAAAGTTTTCCTGAAAAACTAGTGAAAGCAAAAATTTGAATGTGAAGCGTAGAAAGGTTAAACGTTCATTTTCCCAAAATCTCAAATTTTTACAGTAGAAAATAACAACATGAGGAATATTGGAAATCAACCTACAATAACTGAATTAATTGAAGATACAGTCTCACACATTTCAAAGTTTTCCTGGAAAATTAGTGAAGGGAAAATTTTGAAACCTTTGCATGTAAAGAGGAAGGGGAGAAGCTCATTTTCCCAAAATTTGATTTTCCTCCAGTGGAAAATAACAACATGAAGAATCTTGGAAATCAACGTACAATAACTGAATTAATTAAAAATACTGTCTCACACAATTCAAAGTTTTCCTGAAAAATTAGTGAAGCGAAAATTTTGAAACTTTTTGCTTGTAAAGAGGAAGGGAAGAAGCTCATTTTCCTGAAATTTCAAATTTTTCCGGTGGAAAATAATAACAAGAAAAATCTTGGAAATCAACTTACAAAAACTGAAATAATTGTTAATACAGTCTGACACAATTCAATGTTTTCCTGGAAAACTAATTAAGGGAAAATTTTGAAACTTTTTGCATGTGAAAAGGAAGGTCAGAGGCTCATTTTCCCGAAATTTCAAATTTTTTCAGCAGAAAATAACATGAGGAATCTTGGAAATAATGGAAATCAACCTATAGTAACTGAATTAATTGAAAATACAGTCTCACACATTTCAAAGTTTTCCTGGAAAACTGGTGAAAAGAAAATTTTGAAACTTTTCGCATGTGAAGAGGAAGGGGAGAAGCTCATTTTCCCAAAATTTGATTTTCCTCCAGTGGAAAATAACAATAACTGAATTAATTACAAATACTATCTCACACAATTCAAAGTTTTCCTGGAAAATTAGTGAAAGGAAAATTTTGAAACTTTTTGCATGTAAACAGGAAGTAGAGAAACTCATTTTCCCAAAATTTCAAATTTTTCAATTAGATAATAACAACATGAGGAATCTTGGAAATCAACCTACAATAACTGAATTAATTGAAGATACAGTCTCACAAATTTCAAAGTTTTCCCGGAAAACTAGTGGAGGAAAAATTTTGAAACTTTTTGCATGTAGAGAGAAAGGGAGAAGCCGATTTTCCCAAAATTTCAAATATTTCCAGTGGAAAACGACAACATGAAGAATTTTGGAAATCAACCTACAAAAATGTAATTAGTTGAAAATACAGTCTCACACATTTGACACTTTTCAAAATTTTCCTGGAAAACTAATGAAGGGAAAATTTTGAAACTTTTTGCATGTAAAGAGGAAGGGGAGAAGCTAATTTTCCTAAAATTTCAAATTTTTCCAGTGGAAAATAACAACATGAAAAATCTTGGAAATCAACTTACAAAAACTGAAATAATTGTTAATACAGTCTCACATAATTCAAAGTTTTCCTGGAAAACTAATTAAGGGAAAATTTTGGAACTTTTTGCATATGAAGAGGAAGGCCAGAGGCTCATTTTCACTAAATTTCAAATTTTTCCAGTGGAAAACAGCATCATGAAGAATCTTGAAATTCAACCAAAAATAACTGAATTGATTAAAAATACTGTCTCACACAATTCAAAGTTTTCTTGAAAAATTAGTAAAGGGAAAATTTTGAAACTTTTTGCATGTAAAGAAGAAGTAGAGAAGCTTATTTTCCCAAAATTTCAAATTTTCCCAGTGGAAAACAACAACATGAAAAATCTTGGAAATCAATTTACAAAAACTGAAATAATTGTTGATCCAGTCTCACATAATTCAAAGTTTTCCTGGAAACCTAATTAAGGGAAAATTTTGGAACTTTTTGTTTGTAGAGAGGAAGGCCAGAAGCTCATTTTCACAAAATTTCAAATTTTTCCTTTGGAAAACAGCATCATGAAGAATCTTGAAAATCAACCTACAAAAACGTAATTAGTAAATACAGTCTCACACATTTCAAAGTTTTCCTGGAAAACTAGTGAAGGGAAAATTTTGAAACTTTTTGCATGTAAAAAGGAAGGAGAGAAGCTCATTTTCCCAAAATTTCTAATTTTTCCAGTGGAAAATAACAGCATAAACAATCTTGGAAATCAAGTTACAAAAAATGAAATAATTGTTAATACAGTTTCACAGAATTCAAAGTTTTCCTGGAAAACTAATTGAGGGAAAATTTTGAAACCTTTTACATGTGAAGAGGAAGGTCAGAGGCTCATTTTCCCAAAATTTTAAATTTTTCCAGTAGAAAATAACAACATGAAGAATTTTGGAAATCAACCTCCAACAACTGAATTAATTGAAAATACAGTTTCACACATTTCAAAGTTTTCCAGGAAAACTAGCGAAGACAAAAATTTGAAACTTTTTGCATGTGAAGAGTAGAAAGATTAAAGGCTCATTTTCCCAAAATTTCAAATTTTTCCTGTAGAAAATAACAACATGAAGAATATTGGAAATCAACCTACAATAACTGAATTAATTAAAAATTCAGTCTCTCACATTTCAAAGTTTTCCTGGAAAACTCGTGAAGGGAAAATTTTGAAACTTTGTGTGTATAAAGAGAAAGGTAAGAATTTTTTCTATTTTCTCAAAATTTCAAATTTTTCCAGTGGAAAATAACAACATGAAGAATCCTTACAAAAACTGAATTAGTTGAAAATATCATCTCACACATTTCAAAGTTTTCTTGGAAAACTAGTGAACGGAAAAATTTGAACTTTTTTACATGTGAAGAGGAAGGTTAGAAATTCATTTTCCAAAAATTTCAAATTTTTCCAGTGGAAAATACTTAACAACATGAAGAATCTTGGAAATCAGCCTATAAAAACTGTACTCATTATTGTTTTGAATTTTTTAAATTTGTACCTGTAAATCATGAAGTGAAGTTTTGGGAGAATTTCTTTATTGAAAATGAATGTTCAATGTTTAACACAAAACTAGATTTTTTTAAAAACTTCCATTTATTAGTGTTTTTTATAATAAGAATGTGAACTTGAGTAACATCATGACTTTACACTTTCCTTTAAATTCCTCATAAATTTCTCTCAAATTCCTCCAAATGTTCCATAAATTTCTATGAATTATGATTTAAATTCCCTATAAATTTCCTAAGTTCTCATAAATTCCGATGAGTTCCCTCAAATTCCCCACAAATTCCTCTAAATTCCTCACAAAATCCCCACATTTTTGGCAAAGAATTCCTAGGTGGTTTGCCCCTTGGACCAGACTTTGTAGTACCTATTTGATGATATGAAAAATGATATGCTTTTTGAAATACATTCAACTTTTTTTGAAGTATAAATGGTACAGTTTGAAATTCATTTGACTAATTTAAAATACAAATGACATATTCATTAAAATAACATATTCAAAATACAATTGATTACTTGGAAATGCAAATTACACTTTTTAAAATAAAATATTATGTTTGTCATTAGAAAACTTTCAATTTTCGTACTTCAAACAATAGAAACAAATTCTAAATAATTTTTTGATGCAAATCGATAGATCTTGAGCTGATTTTCAATTTAAAACAGATTGCAACTAGCGATGGCCATTTTGAAGCGAGTGATGACTAAAATTTGACATTTGCCATTAGAAAACATTCAGCCCCTTGTCTCAGCCCATGAAAACAAATTCTGATTGATCTTTTAAGGCAAATCGGTAGATTTTGAGCTGATTTTTAATTTAAAATAAACCGCAAGTTGCTAGTTCAAATTGTTTAGAAGTTATACCTGGTTAAAGAAAAGTGATGACCAAAGTCTTACATTTGCCATTAGAAAACTTTCAAGCCTCGTGTCTCAGCCCATGAAAACAAATTCTGATTGATGTTTTAATGCAAATCGATAGATTTTGAGCTGATTTTCAATTTAAAACAAGCCGCAACTTGCTAGCTTTATTGGTTTAAAAGTTATAGTCATCTTAAAATGAGTACATAATGACTAAAATTTTACATCATTAAAATGTTAATTTTCTTAGGATTTTAGGAAAAAGACTCAAATTAGATTGTGCTCACTGGTAAATAATTTCTTACCGGTGATCAGAGTAGGTAGGTATAAAATAAAACGACTGCATTTTAATTTAAAAACATAGCATATCTTTAATTTGAATATAAATATGAAAACCACGAACAAACCAAGACATTGATTTATAAATCTTACAATAAATCATATTTTTACCTTGTCCTAGGTAGGTACTTATAAACAGGCATAATTTATTCACGAATAACTACTAAAATCTTACATTAAAATTCATTTGCTGCACATCACTGGGTGGGTACTTGTTTGTAAAGTACCTACCTATAAATCCAAAACCTTTCAAAAGAAGTCATTTGATAATGTCCTCCTTACAACTCTAGAATTTTTCGCCTCCCCTTTGAAACATTTCTTGCTAGTTCCCATTGTTCCATTTTCAATCTTACTCTTCCTCCTAAAAAATTTCAAATCGTCCAAATTTTCAGGATGCAACATCGGCCTATAAGTGTTCGGCTCGCAATAATCAGGAAAATCATGGAAAAACTTTTTGTAACCGCCTTCCAAAACGTAGATTTCTGGATAATTCAATTTTGGGTAATTCATAGCGTTTCTAGTGCGGTCTTCTTTTCTCAAAGTTCTATTCATGCTGGGGCCTCTTTCTTGCGAGAATTCGCAATGGAATATTAAGATGTGTCTTGTGTCTTTTGGATGTGGAGAATTGTCTAGTAGTTTTAGGCAAGATTCTTGGGTGTAGATGTTTATTGCTCCGCGGATATGGCCACCTTCGTATTCGTATGGATATCTACTGTCAATTATCTGTAATCATAATTGTTCTAAATGGTTTCCAGGTTTTGATTATGAAATTTACGCATTCACGATAAAATAAGTCTCTTATCACTAGAAATTTACATATAAAAATAATCTTACCTGAAATGATTGAATTAAATCCTTGTATTTCCCATCTAAAAGGTTCTTCATTGTCTCCCCAGAAATCATTTTCAGCTCAGATTGGGTAACTTCCATCAAAGGCAAGGCATATTCTTTAGAAAAATCACCAACCAAGTTGCCTTCTTCTGAAGATTTCTCCACAGCGTCCTTGATCAATCCTCTTTGAACATCTTGATCAATTCTATTATTTCTTGGAGTTAGTTTGAGTCTTTTCAATGAATTGGCCACTACCAATGAAGGACTTTCTACGATGGGGCTGCAAAATAAACGTTTTCTGTTGCCTGTTTTGGTTGGTGTAGCTTCAAATGCTTCTACAAAGCATATAGTAGGCTCGTCATCTAGTAACTTTTCACTGATGCTTTCTAGGGAATCTTCGGAAAAGCCTGAATCTTTGGTACTTGTTTGGTCAAAAAGCGAAAGATCCATGATGGCACTTTGAACTACACTTGAAAACTGATTTAAAATAAAACAAGTTTGGGGTATTTAAATACTTTGCAGGCCATTTTTCTTGTATAAAAATGACCTGATTGGAAGGGAGGTTTTGAACCTAGTCAACAATGAAACCCCAATTTGTTAAATTTGCAAAAAGAAGTTATTATATTATTCCAGGTAATGTGGTCAAATGGTCAATTCTTTCTAAATAGGATATTTTATTATAATTCAATTATGACGGTGGTGATAAGAAAACAAACTGCATAAAAGTGATGTGCTGACAATAATCAAAAAATTGAGGACTTTTGCAAGTTCTTGGATTGTTTAGTGGCCAGGTGACAGGATGATATAATTACTAGCGGTATTAACTGAAATGTAAAAATGTTCCGATTCAATAGGAATAAGAATGATTCCTTAAGAAAATGCTTATAGAGCCACCTTACAGTCAATTTTTGTTTATTTTCGGCTCTTGAATTTGCCTCAAACTAACCGTATAGATAGGAACCTCAATTGAACTTTGGATAATAGGCTAAAGAAGATCAACTTTTGGTAGGTAGGTAATAATCCAATCAAAATTGATTATTACTGTCTCTTGATTTACTAGAGGCAATTACTTTGTATCTTTTGTTTCTTTTGCTCAATTGCTTTGAATTTTTGTTATATTCTGCTCTAATGCCCTATAAAGGATACCAGAATATTAGTGACTTTTATAGTTTTTGAGAAACTACCCCATTTATATAATATTGTCATGTTTTATTCCTTCAAAAACTATGTATTTGTATAAATTACTTTGTAACTTTTGTGTTCTTTGTTCAACTGCTTTGAATTCTTGTTATAACCTGCTTCAAAGATTCCATAGAAAATTTCATATTTGTAGCTTTTATAGTTATTTCAATTTATGGTACTTTGTCTCAAAAACTAGGTACCTACTCAAACAAAGCATAACATACTAAAATTTCCAATCAACAATCATTAAGAACAAAATTAGGATTTCAAATAGAACAAGCCTCTCCTTGGAAATTCATGATTGTCAAAACAAAGTTTTGATTCTTGGAACTTCAAGGTTAAAATATTTTTCAATTTATTTCTGTGACTTCAATCAAAAATGGGTATAAATACAATAGAATATTTTAACAAGGGTGATGAAGTCAACACCCAACTAATGTGGCAATTAACATAATTTTGTATGCCACTTATGGTAATGAAAGTAATTGAATATAATGGGCCTGTAGTTGATGTTATTTCTAGTTAAATTATTAAGTTATTGTACCTGAGAAATTTTAACTTTACGATTAGAAAGGAAATAAATGTCTATGTTAGTGTGAAACGACTCTTATATTATTTCTAATTCTTTATGAAAAGCCAAAAAGTTTTGAAGTTCTTGTGCTCTTTGCGTGGGCTACATATCATTCAGAGCTTAATTGGCATCCAAGTTTTCAAAATTCCGTTTAAATTATAACAGTTGTATGCAACATCCTCTTTTAACTTAAAAGCGCTTTTTAAAACTGGTACTTTTAAAAATTTGTGTGGTTTAGAATACACATTTTTAAAAGTGGCCAGTTTTAAAAAGCACTTTTAAGCTAAAAGAGGATGTTGCATACAGCTGTAAGTCTTTTACTTGAAATCTGATGAAGAGTCTGGAGCCTTTTGAGCTAGCAACTTTTCCTTCCAAATCTTAATCAAATGATAAGATGGATATTTTAATGTGCCCAAAGGGCTTGGTAGGTATCTATTGAGGTTCCTAAATGTTTCTTGAAATTTCCAAAAAATTAGGCTTTAATTTGAACACCAATAACAAGACGTTGAACACAAAACGACAACTAAGAAGGTGCGTCATTATAGCTAAAAACGAGTCATAAAATAAGAAATGTGAAGAAATTAACATTTATATAGGAGAAAGTTAATATTCAGGTAATCAAACCAAAACACTACCAGAGTCTAAGTATTACAAGAAACTAAGATCGGAATATATATTAGATTTTCTAAGACATATTAAAGTACATGGAGAAGATGTTGAAATATTTGAAGAAACAGGTAAATCTGAAAGGTGTTTTAACCAAACCTGTAAAATATGCAGTGAACAATATTATCAAATCACAAATTATCAACTATTTTGAAGATATACTGCAGATAAAAGATGGGAAATTGTCAAGCTATCAAATCTATGCCGGCGTTGTTTAAAAAGACATCAATATATTTGCAGATATCCGGTAAAATGTGATCAAAACAACTGCCAAAGCAAACACAACTCCTTTCTTCATAATAAAAGAGAAGAATGCTCAGACGCTGACATTTCTACTAAGAAAAATAATAGCTAAGCAAATTCAGGTTCTGCGATTTCACAGCATGTTGACATACCATAAGTCCATAAATCTGAGATTTGAAAAATTTTCCCTCCTGGGATGCCGACGACCAGCTGTCCTTCCACCTCTTGGGAGGCCGTCCTGGTGGTCTGCTGGATGCTGGTTTTCCGTTTTTGGCGATTTTTGCCAGTTTGTGGTTTTCCATTTTGGAAATGTGCTCATTCCAGAAGCGTCTTCCATGTCCATCTAACCACATACTCTGTCTTGCACTCTTCCCCGATTTCGATGGTCCTTCTTTGGTCCCAAAGTGTGTTCCCTGTGATCATTCTTAGTATTCTCATTTCATTGGTTCGTGCCATCCTTTTTGTTCTCGTTGTGTCAGCTAGTGTTTCTGCAGTGTATGTCATTACGGGCCTGACACATGCTTTATAACTTTGGTCGGGGTTGATATGCATGTATTTTTCCATGTGGTTGTACGTGATGCTCTGGCTGCCTTGTTTACCTGGTTCCGTACGCCATTCTTGAGTTCACCTTATGGTGATATTGTTATTCCCAGATAGTTGACAACTGTGTTAATGGGTGCGACTTAAGAATTCCTTCTATTTGAGTGATTACATTTGAGAGACTTTCGATTGTTGATATTGAATTTCTTAAAGTTTGCGTCAGATGAAATTTTGTTGATTTCACTCCAGCCTTCCATAATCCACCCTGATGCGAAGAATATGCTGAAATGAATGATCATTTAATATAATGGGTGTTTGTTATGGTATCTTCAAAAGTATGAGAGTTCGTTCAATTTATTACTTGCACCAACAAAAATTTTCCCGTTGTCGGAATAAATCACTGAAGGTTTACTGCGACGAGCGATAAACCGCTGTAAAGCTTCCATAAAGGCAGCCATGCTCAAATCAGTAACAAAAATGGGTTTAACTGAAGAATTTTGCTATTGGTTTTAACTCTTCCGTTAGTGGATATAATTCTTTAAGTTATATTGGAAATGTTTCACGTTGAGAAATCAGATTTAATAAAGAATTTCTAAGCTCTTCGACACTTAAGCTTCCTGATAGTCTCGTCTGTGTTTCGCAATTATTGATGAAATGTAAGCAGTAGCCAAAGACCCTTACTTAGGGGTCACCCTGAAGCTAACACTCACTTGGAACAAACAATTAGAGAAAACACAGCTACATCAGCCATCTGGTCATGCCGAAAACTTTTTGGCCAAACATGGGGGCTTAAGCCAAAGATGGTATTCTGGATTTGTCAAACTATTTTAAAGCCCATGGTCACATATGCCTTATTGGTGTAGTGGCCAAAAACCCAGCAAGTCACCGCTCGGATCAAACTAAGAAAGGTACAAAGGCTGATATGTCTAGGAATAATGGGAGCAATGTCAACTTGCCCCATCGCTGCCCTAGAGACGTTATTCAACATGACACTTCACCTATGTGTGAAAAAAGAGGCGATAACTAGCACTGACAGGCTATTCCAAACAGACAAGTTCAAGCCTGGTGATCTGAGGGGACATTTGCGCATCCTTATTTAATAAAACAAGAGAATGCCAGCAAACCAAGTGACCACATGATGGTCAGATTGGACTTAAAGATCCCATTCGCAGTGGTAATAAGCGACCGCCAATCATGGAAGAATAAAGAATTACCACAAGCAGACAATACATCTCTGTGGTACACAGATGGATCCAAGCTAATGGAAGGAGATGGACTGGGCATTTCCGGCCCTAACTTCAAGCTCTCCAAGGCATTGGACTTACAATATTTCAAGCCTAACTGCTTGCCATAGATATATGTGCACAAGAGTGTTTTAACCAGAGCCTCAAAAGAAAACAGATCTTCATACTATCGGACAGCCAAGCTGCCTTAAAAGCCTTAAGGGCTTTCAAATGCACGTCAAAATTAGTCTGGGAGTGTAAATAGATCCTAAAAACATTAGCGACACACAACCAGGTAACGCTGATGTGGCTGCCTGGTCACCGAGGCACAGAAGGAAACGAAGAAGCAGATGGCCTCGCGAAAGAAGGGGCCTCAAAACCATACCATGGACCAGAGCTCTACTGTAGCTTAATAAAAAGCCACATCATGGAAGAACTCAACAAATGGGAAAACGACCAACTGTCATCATATTGGAGGAACACTCCGGGACTCAGACAGTCAAAAAGGTTTATTACCCTTTTACACACTTCCTAAACAGGAGCAGACCAGACATCAGATTGGTGGTAGGATTGCTCACATCAGGACACTGTCTGGTAAAATACCATTTAAGGTTAATGGGCAGAGCAGAAGACGATCTTTGCAGATTCTGGTCAGACGCAATAGAGACCGCAGAGCACCTACTCTGCGAATGTCCAGCCCAATTCTGCAAGAGGCTCAAATTCCTCGAGAGGGCAACACTGTCACCAGAAGAAGTGAGCCAACTGACACCCAGGAAAATAACTTCCTTAGGCAGAAGTCTGCGCTTCCTGGAGACAAATTAAGATGTAGAGTCACGTACAAAATATCTGCAAAGGTAGCAGTGCTGAGCGGCTGAAAAGCCGAAACGACTCCCCCACAATCTACAATCTAGATAATTTTTTGTCTGGGAACCAGTTAGTGACATATCCTCCGGCCAATATTCCTCAGGTTGCTGTAACCATTCCGGGCCTGCAAACCACATGGTGGAAGTGATTAATTCATTGGGGGAATTGAAAGGATGTCAGCAGGATTTGAGTTGGTAGGCACATAGCGCCACCTTAAAATATAAGTCAACTCCTGAATGCTGTTTACACGATTTCCAACAGACACTTGCAAAAGATGAGGAGAGGTTCGAATCCAAACCAACGTGACTGTAGAGTCTGACCACAAGCAATAATTGTCAACTTTCAAGGTTAATGCATTATTGACCTTATGGAATAAGTCTGAAAGTAATTTAGTTGCGCATAATTCAAGCCGAGAAATGCTGATTGACTTAAGTGGAGCTACTCTACTTTTTGAGGTGATCAAGCTGGCATGAATACTCGACGTGAGAGCTATCCCATGAATTTGAAAGGAAACTGGATTTTTACACGACATTGGTCTAGGTATTGTTAAAGCCTGCAATTGAATTATTTCTTGTCTGAACTTAACCCAACGATGAGCCAAGTTCTGGATTTACTTCTTCGTCCTAAGAAATTTTCAGTATCCATAAAGATTGCCGTATAGGTAATTTTTGCTAAAATGATCACAGGGCTTATAAGCCCTAGTGGGTGAAATAACTTGGCTGTATCTGATAATATGACTCTTTTGGTAACGCGTTTCGATTCCCAAAGTTTTACTTGTTTCTAGCGTGGAAAAGAAGAAGGGATCAATTGATGAATTTGCTTGGGTTAGACCTGCTAAGATCTCAGAGACATTCGATTTCCATTTCCTAAGCTCAAAGCAACCTGGTTTCAGGATTGTGGAGATGTTTTTGCTGCAACAACTTTCCAGTGTTTCAAGTGATGATTTCGTGCCAAATAGCAAGTCATCAACATACATATTGTGTTTAATTATTTTGGACGCTTCAGGAAAGATTTCATCATGGTCGATGGGTAATTGTAATAGGCAACTGGTTTTCAAAAGGGCAGCACTAGCTGTTCCATATGCGACACGATCCAAAATATTTAATATTCAATACTTCAAGTACATTTGTTGAGTACTTAGCTCAACTCTAGGTCAACTTGATGATTTTTCTGAAAACAATTGGTACACAACTTTAACTGAATGATTTTTTCACGCCTTTTTGAAACTGATAATAATATGAATTCATGTACCAAGGGGATTATGTAGATTATATTGCCCGAAGGCGAAACTAGCCCAAGGGCCTATGGACCGAGGGATATATTTCGCCTGAAGGGCATTATAATTTAATAATCCCCGTGGTGTATACAATGCTTTATTTTCTACTTAACACAATGTTCTTTCATCAATTAAGTATCAAACAAAATCAGTTAAATCTCTGACTACCTGGACGACGTCAGCGACAAGTTTTATAGATAAGGAATCAGTGGATCCCTTATCACACGCAGCATAACTGCAATGAGATCCAGACAACCCCATAGTTCACAGACTCCCATACAAGAATCAACCACTCTATTTTGAACCCCCATGAACACCTTCCATATCCTAAAACCTGCTAGCCACACTCCAAATTTAATTTAAGAAGCCATCCAATGCTCAGCTAAAATCCAATCGTCGAGACAAAATTGGACAAGAAAGATTTGACGATGATGCCAACAGCCAAGTCTAAAGCAGGAGACTGGCAATTCCACCAACGGTCTAATTTCTATCCTCAGTTTTTCGGGAAATTTCAACTAGCCAGAGACTTAGTGTGTCGTTTACTCCTCTTTCACCCCCATTTTGACCAACAAATCTAGGTACAAATAGCCCAATTTAGCTGCAAACTATTACCTGGAGGCTCCTCAGGTCAGGGTGCAGGGTTATAGAAGATTTTACATACGAATGTTATTTTCAAAATAAAGAGATTTCGAGTTTGAAACTGGTTTAAGTGAATACTTTACACTGCGGAGCTTAGTTTTGATTCATACAATGTGTTTCGCTGTGATCGCTCAAGAGCCACCAGCACTGCTGTCTCATTGGTGCAACGGTGACATCGAGCAAGTTTTTTTCATTGAAGGCAGTGATATAAAAAAAAAATGGTCCTGAGCTTCGTATACCTTCCACCAAACTCCCCAATTGAGAAGTACGGAAGCTTTAGTAAAAACTTGGAAGATATCTTTGAACAATTCAGCCCTACTGAATGTTGCATCACGGGGGATTTCAATCTTCCCAAAGCCAGCTGGACTTTAAGAAACATCTATTCGGTGGCTCACCATAATATGGAGGGTTACCTTGCTGCTACTGAAATCAATAAGATACAACATATGTCAGAAGTATGAGCTTTTCACAGCTTAATAACATTTTATAATATCAATAATGTCACCCTTGACATGATATTCTACCACTCAAGGATCCCTATAACTCAGCCAGATGAAGATGACTATCTGCTTCCGTTGGATAATAACCATCCACCCCTGTTGTTTCAAGCCACACTGCAACAAAATCACTGCAATTCAAATCCACAGGGAGATGGATATTATGACTTCAAAGCCTCAAACTTCAACGAAATTTTTGACTCTATTTCTTGGGATGAGCTGCTTTTGAACAAGTCTGTGAATGAGATAATTAACATTCTTCATAGTTTTTTATATAAAGTCTTTGATCTTTTTGCACCTATTAAAAGAATAGCCAGTTAAATGTTTCCCAAATGGTTCTCACAGGATTTGAAAGCACTTATTATACCGAAAAAAATTCTTACACAAAGTCGCCTATCTTCAGATTATCTGGCATTTTCTGACTTGCGCTCACAGTGCAATCTGCTCTCTAGGGACAATTTTCGTGAATACCTAAATGAAACTGAATCGGCATTGCAACGTAACTCAAAACAGTTCTAATCCTATACCAAATCTATACAAAACTTGAGTAAGCCTCCTTCAAGTTTTAGACATAATGGTGAGTCGGCAACTATGGGTCCCCAAGCTGCCGAACTCTTTGGCGAATACTTTGGTTCAGTCTATCTCTATCTCCTCACAATTTATTTGATTTCACTATTCCTATTTCTGACATCTACATAGAGCTAAATAACATCAACCCAAACAAGGGAGCAGGGCCTGACTATATCGCTCTTCTTGAAAAACTGCTGTATTGTTTTGTCCAGACCCTTGCATATAATTTCCTTGAGGGACGGCTTCTTCCTTGGGTGCTGGAGAGCCAGTTATGTGGTACCGATTCTTAAATCCGGTGACTCATCAGATGTGACTAATTATCGCCCAATTTGCATTATAAGTGCAATTCCTAAAATCTTTGAGAATATTGTCACAAAATGTTTATCATCATCTTTAGGGAGCGAAATTATCTCGGAGGAGTTTGGCTTCAAAAAGGGGTCAACAACGGAAATTAATCTTCTCACATACTCTGACTTTCTGACAGGCGCCTTGGAGAGGGGTGAGGAGGTACATACTATATACCTACACCGACTTCTCCAATGCATTCGACAGAGTCAATCATTTAGTCCTGATCAAAAAACTAGAGAGACTTGGCATCTCTGGCTCTCTGCTTCAATGGGTGGAAAGCTATCTTACAACAAGGACACGGATAGTTCATATTAACAACTTTACCTCTTCCCAAATCTTGGTGTCATCAGGTGCATTTAGGCCCACTGCTCTTCAACCTGTTCATTAATGACATATATTCTTGTTTTCTACACTCTTCATTTCTTCCTATTGCCAACGACTTGAAATTATTTTTAAAAATCGTTTCTCCTGATGACTTCCATGCACTGCAAGAGGATCTTGACAGGTTAATTCAGTGGTGTCAAACTAATAGCATGGATCCTAATGTTACGAAGTGTAAAGTTATGAAATTCCACAGGTCTAGAACCTTTAATGACTACATATATCACACCATTGGACTGCGTGAATCAGATCAGGGATCTGAGTGTTTTGCTGAGCTCCAGTTTTAATTTCTCTTCACACATCGATGCCATAGTTAACAAAGCACTTCGGATGCATGGGTTTGTGAAGCGTAGTACAAGGGAATTTGCGAATATCAACTCCATCAATCAACTTCTGATTTTTTGAAACATTTCTATCTTCTGAAACTTTCAATAATGAACTTTGAAATTTATTTCAGGCCACAACGAAACGATCCACCACTACAACGCCGTACTCTACCTGCAAATTTTGGAAAGGACCATCCACGAAGCCCTCGTCACCGTTCACAGCAAAGCACTCCGTCCGACTTCGAAGAAAAAAGGAGCCAAAGCCGAACCGCACATCGTCAGGCAAGACATGTAAGTGCGCAGCTCAATCTACGCATCACAAATAAAATTGTATGTTTTGTAGTAAACCTGAAGTTATCGAACCAGTTGAACGAATTTGCACTACAAATCCGTGTCCATTATGTGTGGAACACGACTTGGTTAGTGATGTTATTGATGAGCTTCAAGTTGCCTACACAAAAGATCAAATTCAAGCGAAACTTAAACGCCGGTTGAAAATCGAAGGAGCACGCACCGGTTTACATAACGTATCAGCTTGTCATTTGCCCAAATCCAGGCAAATTATACAAAAAAGATATCAATAAATATTATAGTTAAAATGTCAGCTTTAATTCCCTTTTGGAACCGGGATAAAAATCCAGCAGAGAGAATTGACGTTTTGAAATGCGCCGGCTGGACAGCGGCCGACGAGGGAATCGGATTTTGAAGCAAGAAAGGTTTGAATAGGGACTGGACATATGTACGGTCAAATTTCGATTGATTATTAATTTGGACATATGAGGTTTTAATTATTGAACCAAATAATCACTTCAATGTGATTTGTTTCAAAAATTTTTGTCAGAATTTTAATGGTTTTCCAATCTTATTAGGCTATGGTCCAAATATAAGCAAACGTTAACCAAAGTAACCTAATCGGTTGACAGATGGTTACTGAAAATTCTGTTTACTTGGGGAATATGAAATACAAAATAATTTACAGAATTTACAGATAAAACCATAGAGAAATATAATAAACCAAGGTAAGAGTACCTGATTGATAACATGAAAGTTTGTATAGCGCTGACGTCACAGCGACGGTGGCGTCAATAGTGGCAGCCGGAACAAATACTGAAATGGCGGGAATTTTGAAATTTGACTTGAGTTCATTGCACAAAAAACTTACTTATGTTGTTCCACATCTTTGTTTCTTAAATCCGAATGAGAAAAATGATGTGGTCCTTCATAAAGTTTTGTGCCATTTTTTGATGTAGATTAAAAAAAGAGGCAAAATAAACACTAAATTGTACTAGAAAAAATATATATTATAGCTAGATAGGTCAAATACCTAAAGAGTTTACAAACACAGTTATTACATCCCTTATACATGCTTTAATGTATGTACAAGCTAAGCTGGCCAAGGCCTAACATTTACATTTTATCTCTTCTGACTGAGGTCTCCTAAAACAGTAAAAAAATATGCCGTATATCACAAAACTAACATGTATACTTACTGGTTCAGTTTATCCTAGTTGTACATAATATTATAGGTACGCGATACCGAGTGCCTTAATAAAAATGACAATTTCTTCTTCTTGTTCTTTAGATTTTGTGAGTTCGAGTCTTCTTAGACGACCGCTCAATCGGTTAAAAATGACAAATTTCAACACGGAAATGTCGTTATTTTAATAACCTATTTCGGCTATACTTTTGAAGGTCTTATGGATAAAACCAACAGAACTGACATTTGATAGCCGGTAACTATTTTGACATTTGGTTGACCAAATTTAAAGAAAACCAAAATCCAAAAGTGACCACTTTTCCAGGAACCAGAGTAATTTGATCACTTTCGGACCGTGAAACCACAATCCCTGGTTATATTTCGACCACAACCTTGGATCGAATTTCCAGGGTTTATCAAGGGGTAAACCACCATCCCAGAATTGGTGCAAACAATTCCTCAAAGGGGAATTTTTTTCGCATAATTCCTCAAAATTCCTGCAAATTTCTCCAAATTCTTCCAGATACCCCATCAAATATCCCTCCAAACACCCATGAAACCATTGAAACTTTTTGCATGTTAAGAGGAAAGTAAGAAGCTCATTCTCCTAAAATTTCAAAATTTCCCAGTGCAAAACAGCAACATGAAAAATCTTGGAAATCAACCTACAAAAACTGAATTAGTTGAAAATACAGTCTCACATATTTTAAAGTTTTCCTGGAAAACTAGAGAAGGGGAAATTTCCAAACTTTTTGCATGTAAAGAGGAAGGTGAGAAGCTCATTTTCCCAAAATTTCAAAATTTTCCAGTGAAAACAGCAACATGAAAAATCTTGGAAGTCAATCTACAAAAACTGAATTAGTTGAAAATACAGTCTCACATATTCCAGAGTTTTCCTGGAAAACAAGTGAAGGGAGAATTTTGAAGCTTTTTGCATGAAGAGAGGAAGGTGAGACGCTCATTTTCTCAAAATTTCAATTTTTTCCAGTAGAAAACAACAACATGAAAAATCTTGGAAGTCAACCTACAAAAACTGAATAAGTTGACAATACAGTCTCGCACATTTCAAAGTTTTCCTGGAAAACTAGAGAAGGGAAAATTTTGAAACTTTTTGCATGTAAAGAAGAAGGTGAGGAGCTCATTTTTCCAAAGTTTCAGATTTTTCCAGTGGAAAATAACAACATGAGGAATATTGGAAGTCAACCTACAAAAACTGAATTAGTTGAAAATACAGTCTCACATATTTTGAAGTTTTCCTGGAAAACTAGAAAAGGGAAAATTTTAAAACTTTTTGCATGTAAAGAGGAAGGTGAGAAGCTCATTTTTCCAAAATTTAAATTTTTTTCAGTAGAAACTAAGAACATGAGGAATATTGGAAATCAACCTACAATAACTGAATTAATTGAAAATACAGTCTAATATATTTTAAAGTTTTCCTGGAAAACTAGAAAGAGGAAAATTTTGAAACTTGAAACTTTTTGCATGTAAAAGAGAAAGGTGAGACGCTCATTTTCCCAAAATTTCAAATTTTTCTAGTGGAAAATAACAATATGAAGAATATTGGAAATCAACCTACAATAATTGAATTAATTGAAAATACAGTCTCACATATTTCAGAGTTTTCCTGGAAAACTAGTGGAGGGAAAATTTTTGAAACTTTTTGCGTGTAGAGAGGAAGGTGAGACGCTCATTTTCCCAAAATTTCAAATTTTTCTAGTGGAAAATAACAACATGAGGAATATTGGAAATTTACCTACAATAACTGAATTAATTGAAAATACAGTCTCACATATTTTAGAGTTTTCCTGGAAAACTACTGCAGAGAAAATTTTGAAACTTTTTGCATGTAAAGGGGAAGGTGAGAAGCACATTTTCCCAAAATATCAAATTTTTCTAGTAGAAAACGGCAACATGAAAAATCTTGGAAATCAACCTACAAAAACTGAATTAGTGTAAAATACAGTCTCACACTTTTCAAAGTTTTCCTGGAAAACTAGTGAAAGGAAAACTTTGAAACTTTTTGCATGAGCTGAGAAGCTCATTTTCCTAAAATTTCAGAATTTTCCAGTGGAAAACAGCAACATGAAAAATCTTGGAAATCAACCTGCATAAACTGAATTAGTTGAAAATACAGTCTTATACATTTTAAAGTTTTCCTGGAAAACTAGTGAAGGGAAAATTTTGAAAATTTTCACATGTAAAGAGGAAGGTGAGACGCTCATTTTCCCAAAATTTTAAATTTTTCCTGTAGAAAACAGCAACATGAAAAATCTTGGAAATCAACCTACAAAAACTGAATTAGTTGAAAATACAGTCTCACACATTTCAAAGTTTTCCTAGAAAACTAGTAAAGGGAAAATTTTGAAACTTTTTGCATATAAACAAGAAGGTGAGAAGCTCATTTTTCTAAAATTTCAAATTTTTTCAGTGGAAAATTACAACATGAGGAATATTGGAAATCAACCTAAAATAACTGAATTAATTGAAAATACAGTCTCACACATTTCAAAGTTTTCCTAGAAAACTAGTGAAGGGAAAATTTTGAAACTTTTTGCATGTAAAGAGGAAGGTGAGAAAATCATTTTTTCAAAATTTCAAATTTTTTCAGTGAAAAACAGTAACATGAAAAATCTTGGAAATCAACCTACAAAAACTGTATTCATTATTCTTTTGAATTTTTAAAATATGACAATTTCCTTTAAATTCCTCATAAATTTCTCTCAAATTCTGCTAAATTCCCCATAAATTCCTCCCAATTCCCTATAAATTTCCCAAATTCTCATAAATTCGGATGAGTTCCTACAAATTCCTCTAAATTCCCCACATTTTTGGCAAAGAATTCCTAGGTGGTTTGCCCCTTGGGGTTTATTGTACAAAACTTGAGATAAAAACCAGTAAAATTTCAAGCAGATTGAGACCAAGGTTTTTTGAAAGAGTTAGGTTGTCTGATAACTATTATGACGTCATCTGGATACTTAAACATAATGCAAATCTCCATAAGATCGTCCTGATGACGCCATCTGTTTAGCATTACCAGACAACCTATCAACTTTAGGAACCTTGGATTGAGACAATATTCCAAGAGTTGAGATTTTTTGGAAAATAAAGGTTTTAATCGAGGAGTAAGTGCCAATTATATTCTGGTTGCTCTATATGTATACAAAAACTCCACAAAATTAGACATTGTTTCACTTGAAATTTTCCAAAAATCAAGTGTATACGCCGTATATGTGTATACAGACAGGCTACTAGACACATAGGCTTCAATAAGACCAATTGACTGATATTAATTTCATCGCAGGATCGTCAAAGTAGATCATTGATCATCCCTGCATGTTATTGAAATTCGTGCATCTTCGGTAAACCGGGTATAAGCTAATTCGTCTTATTATTCCATAGGTTGGTTCGGTCTGTATGTATATATCTAAATACATAAAACATAACAATACGATTTTTAAATCAAATATCGTTCTGGTTAAACGCAATCAAGGTAGATATTTTGGACAATCGTGTACAGTTCAAAAATTGATCAACTTGTTTCCATTTCTGATATTCAGCAAAAATCCAGAAACAAGAAGATTCCTGTGCAGCACTCAATTAGTCACCAACCAACTTTTTCTGGTTGTAACAGATATTGGCAACAGAGTGGCATAACAATTCATCAACAAAACTATCAAATAATGAACATACTGTGTCAATAAACACGGTAATAGAAAAAGAAATTGCAGAATATTTTAAGAAGGAACTTTTAGCAGACATTGGATAGACAAAAAACAGAAAAGACTTGACATACCAAGGAAGATCGATAACTGAAACAACAAAAAATGTCTGGGAAATACTTCAAAGGCACAAGCCATCAGAAATTGAAGACAACTTCAAGAATCTTTACCAGACATTGTACAATCAAAATGAAGACGATTCTGAAAAATACAAAAACAAAAGACAATGTCTATATTGATAAAATATTTTAATATTGTCATTTCTAACATGAAATTTGACTGTATTTTAACCACCGAGACATAAAACTTCCAAAATAGGGAAGGCCCTGACCATTGTACCTCAAATCCTTATCCATACATAAATAAATAGCCCAATAAATACTCACTCTATACGACATCAGGGCATCAAAAAGCAATAAATGACACAAGCAGAAAAAAATAAATAATGCCATGTTCACACCCCAAGGAACATCAATAAGACCAAACAAGGGTGAACAGGTTTATAAAAACCTCACTAAATCAAATCGCACATGTTACTAAACGTGACGCGACTAGTTTTTTTTTTATTCATTCATTCGGGGGTGCAAAAGATTAAATTGTAAGTAGCTTAATAGAGTGACACGGTCAATGAATATTGAATCAATTCGAGGAGGGAGATTTTTCAATTTATCCACTTTCCCTAATGAATGCTGTCCGAGTCATAATCGTTAAAAGAAAAAGTCACATTTGGCTGGAACTAAAAACATATTAAGTTAATTGGGGAGAATTGCATCGACGACCGCACCAGAAAACAATTAAGGGGCAAAAGTGATTAGAGTAAGTGGAATAGAGCATTAAAAGAACCAGCATAAAATTGCACTGAGAAGATAAAACATCCCTTAAATAAATG